TGAACAGGGTGCTTTTTACCCCCTTGTCCAAGTCACTGATGAAGATGTTAAACAGTGCGGGCCCGAGGACCGAGCCCTGGGGGACCCCACTGCCCACATCCCTCCAGGTCGAAAATGACCCATCCACTACCACTCTCTGGGAGCGCCCCTCCAGCCAGTTGGTGACCCATTTGACTGTGTAGATGTTGACACCACAGCCCCCCAGTTTTTTAATGAGAACATGTCACATAGGGGAGCAAGTCTTTGACACTCTTGTATTTCCTAGGAGACCCCTTGTACTCTTAAGGCCCTCTTCCAAGTTTTCTGTTCCCATGCCATGCCTCTTATTCTAACACCAGTTCCATGCCCACGTACCCATTGTGTTTCATTTCTCACCACTGCCTTCCTCCCTATTAGCATCCTTTTCCATCCTGGCCCTTTGCTCACTCTCTGGTCTGTGTGTTCATTCCACAGCTCTGGCAATAACTTGCTGACAGCAAACAGAGATGTAGTGAGTTGAGGGGATAGGAGATATCTGTAGATAATGGATTTCAAGGAGCAGTAAAGCCACATATAAGCACAGTAACAGTATCTCAAAGACAGGAAAATCTTCATGCAAAAAAACTCTTATTTAAGAAAATGTTATCCCTGATACGTAACATTACTCTATATACTTCCTAAACATGTGAAGGTCCTGTTTAGGACCCACTGTATTACAACATGCACAACTCTTCTGAAGATTTTACACTCTAACTAGCCAAGATAAAGGGAGAGATAGAAATCGGGAATATGGAATTTGCAGTTAGTAGCAGAGCTGGGACTAGAACTTGCACCCTGCACTGCACCCTCCCCAGTGCCCATACTTTTGCATAAGCTGAATGGCTGTAGGGCCTGTCTTTTACATGAGCTGGGGATTAAGCCCATAATGGTATAACCCAGAGATTTTTGCTAGTGAACCTGTACTAAGTTAAACAGATTTTGTAAAGTGTGACCAAAAAATCTCCCTCGAAATGTACTGGCTATAGCTAATAACCAGCAAGTTGGGATTGTTACCTTTTCACCTCACTAAGCTCTGGACATGTGCTTGTTTTTCCAATCAGAGTTCAAACCTACTCAGAGTAAACTGCGTACAACAGAGAACAGAATTAGCTCTAGGCAAGATACATTGCAGATACCCGTGTCTGAACTCTGAATTGAACTCTCGTGGTATGAGAATCAAGCATGTAAGATTCATAGGAATTAGTCTCTCCACTATCACCTCCAAGAAAGCAATTCAAGTTTGCCCCTCAGCAAAACCGTATTTCCTCAGCGGAACTTGGCATGCTGAATCAGAAAGTACCTTGGACACAGAAACAATTACATTCTCACTGCAAAGGAGGAGGATAATGGATTGGACACACCTGGATAAAGCTACCTGCTGGCTCCAAAGAAACCCGTACTGATTCAGTTCTAGCACAGTCTTTATTGATTCATTAAAGTTGGCTGCAAGCCAGAGTTTCATAGTGTTCTGTCAGCTTTTTAATGAACTGATAATATCTGGGCTATAAATTTTAACTCCTAGAACTTTTTCCTGAATACAGAAAGAATGAGCATCATAAAACTATAGACTCAGTACAACCAGAAATTGCATGTTTATTTTCAAAAGAGATCAACTTCTTTTCTATTAATTCACAGACAATAGCAGTGGTTGTGGTGGTGGAGGGAAGGTTATTTATTGATTATACAAGAATATTCTCTGTGTGTTCACAGAATGGGTTTCCAAACTTAACCAGTAAAGTTACAGTCACTGTTCTAGACAAGCCCATTGCCAAATGAGGACTACCAGCTATGACAGCCCACAGTGGAATCAGTGATGGAACAGTCGGAGGTTGGTGTGAATGAGAACAATTCCCAGTTCATCACAGGCTTCGATCACAACCTGGTCAGCAGCCGAGCCAGACGGGGCAGCAATAAACTGTACTCCACTCTGAACAAAGATATCATGAAATTAAAAGTTAGTGAAAAAAAAATAAAAACAAAGAGGTAAGTTGTTTAGCAAAACACTGAACTACGCTACACCATCAAAGTCTCATGCTCTTCCCTGGACCGGACTGCAAACCTCACCTCCCACATTTGTATGACTAGTATGCAGAAGCCCCAGTCACAGAACAGGAACTGTATCATATTAAATTGTGTTTGCACAACATGTATGCAAAAAAACCCACCCCCCACCCCCAAATTCAGCCTTTAAGAACATACAATATAGCAAGTAACCCACATACATTGTTCTGAACTTCTCCCCCTGGATAAGAGTTCATCAAGGAGTAAAAGTCTTGTAACATTTGTCACAAATATTTTTCTCCATATTTTTCAATTCTGTCATATTTCAATCCTCCTTTAACTCTATATGAATGGGTTGAATGATCATTATTCAACTGCTGTTCTACTGAGACCCATATATATCATAAAAATACGATCCAGAATGCAGCAGTTCTAGTCAGCATTTTTAGCCCATGGCAGGTTTAAAATGCAGACACATTCCATAGTGGTTTGCATGAAATTAAAACAAAGAAAAACCACCCAGGCATTTCCTTAAGTAACTCTGACATCCTGACTGCTCAATGATCTTACCCGCTTAGCTCTGTCTACATTATCCCTAAAAGGGAAGAATGCATCCGAGCTGAGGGAGACTGCATTCAGTTTGCCAATCCATTCCTTCTTGTCTGCTTCCGTTAACTGTGCAGGGACCTCCTCAAACACTGCCTGCCATTTAACTAGATCATCACCCTGAAGAAATAAAGAGGCAACTTAGCTTGACAGCATTCACTCTTTTTACTGCTTTATGGCTATTAGACAGCCAGAAAAGGCTTCTGGGCTTTCCTCCCAGCGATGGTATCTCTTTTATACTCACGTTAACATCTGTTCTATAGCCCTCTTATTACTTGGTGCTCTGCAGTTGGGAACTTTACACTGAGAATTATTAAATTTTAAGTGAGCGTGGGAGCTGATTACTGACTACTAAAAGGAAGATTACAATGCCTTCTGCACCATTATAATTCCCTTTCCCCCTTACTATTTCCAGTGCCATCATGCTTTGCTTGGCCCATCTGTGCTATGGCATTCTGTGTAAATGCCAGCACACACAAACAGGATTTGGTATATGACCTAACACATCTGACAAACACCAGCTTAGCTTATGATTCACCTTCTTGAACTGCATCAGTCCAGCTCCCACCCCCTTAAACAAGCAATTGCTCTTGTAGTGATGATTCACTAGGTTCCCATTCCAGCTGTTGGTTTTATACTTTAAAAGGGCATATTATTTACTGAGCTCATCACTGCTTGCAACAGCAAAGTCAGTTGGATTCTGAGAGTCCAAACAGCAAGATACAAAAACTGCTATAAGCAAGTAAAAATAAAGTGAAAAAACCTTCAGTTCTGACAATACTTTTAACTCTTTATTTTCTAATATCCAGAGTAAAATTGATGACTGGAAAAGACTATTGGTTAAAAAACAGTGCTTGGGGCTTCAAGTTCTTTGGAGAGATGTATAGAACAAGTTTCTTCATGTTGCAATACAACCCGGTAGATGGGGTACTCAATAGGAACCAGAAGTGTCTGGGTTCAATACTTTGCTCAGCTATGGATTTAGTATGTGATATTGGACAAATATTATCCCTTCTTACTCCAACACTTTGGGGATCCATCTGCAACATATTATGAAATTGTCCAATGCCTTCAACATGCCCGTAACTGAGCCCTGCCCTGAAGTCAGCTCTTTAGGAGCTACTTTATCCCAACTGTCTGCTACCTTTAGCTGTGCAAATCCATGTCTCTTTTAATGTCATTCAAGTCCTCGATCTCTCAGCTAGGACCACCAGAAAGAATAATAATTTCTGAGGTTTTGTGAGGTGGACATTTTGCTCTTAAAGAACTAGAGCGAGACCCTTATTTTTACCTGGGCCAGTTTTCAAACTGTAATGCCATTTGAACCAAAAGCACAGACTGATCAGAGACATGCCATCAGCAACTGTGAACCCCAATATTCATGTAGTCAGCCAGCACTCCCAGTTTTCCACCTCCCCTACAGAAGGTCTGCAGGAAGATTGGCTAGTACCTTTAGTAATAAAAACAAGCCAAGTATGGCCTCAGTCATGCTGTCCCACTTCCTAGAATGATAAGGGCTAGAACAGCAGCAGATGAAGCACACTTATGCAAGGATGAGACCAAGGAGTGCCTCATGTTATACAAGAGCAAGAGCACAGTGTCATGCAACTAACTACAAAGTGAGATGTGAAGGTTTTAAACCCTTCACAGGGCAGAAGATTAAAAGATGATAAGAAATTATGGGAGGGAATGGACACTAAAAAGAAAAAAGGAATCATTGCCACACTCAGGTCCTCTCCTGAATAGCCTTTGAGCATATGAGAAGCACCGTCACTCTGTCAGTGAAACATGTTCTAGGTCCTGAAATATGAATGTATTAATACTGGTCCCATTAAAAAAGTTGTAGCTTTTTTTTGCAGAAGGTTGTGGCCCGTCTTTGAGAACATCCTTGCGCCTTACCTCACCAATAGTCCCGGTGATATACTGATCGATGGCATTGGAGATCTCTGCTCTCTTCACTCCAGCCTTGAACTTCATGGAGAGCACCCGTGGGTGATGTCTGAGCCACCAATGGTTTGCCTTGTCACCAGCAAGACGTGTGCAGTGAATTCGGGACTGCTGGCCAGCTCCAATCCCGATAACCTGAAGCACATATTGAACTTTATTATTGAGAATCCAGTACATCTTTGTGAACAACTGTCCGCATCAAAGCAGCACTGGTTCCAGAGCAATTATAAACATTGGATAGGTGCATGCACGTCCTCCCAGCAGTTAGTTATTTCCCCACTAAAGCAGAGGAAAGCTTGGATCACAGTCTGTCACCTGATAATAAAGTGATGGGGATGCCAGAAATGCCTAAATTCCCTCCCCTGCAACTTGTTTATGAGGCAAACTGCAGCATTTGTGATTTCTGTGGTCTCCATAATTGGGTTCCTCCTGTGTATAACAAACAGCAGGATCAGGACCCAAGTAATTCAGATCGGCACAGAGCAGATTAGAACAGATTGAGCCCATAATGTCTTACCACCTTTAGTAGAGGGCTCCTTATAGTTACATTTCCCCTCCATTCCCAAATTGTAGTTCTCTCTTTCAGATTGACTTAGTCCAGGCACACAAACTACTTGGCCCACCCTGTCCTTGATGTGGCTTTCTTTCCCATCCAAAAAATATAAATGTTTGCCCTAACCAAAAGGATAAGCAGACTGTAGACACCTATATATAGCAAATGTTGTCATACACCCTCTGCAAAAGGAGCTAAAATATTAAACCAAAAAAGGTTTGATGTCATTTTGGCTTTCATTTCAAAATACTCACTACAGTAAAAGGAAAGTGGCCAATGAGAAATTTTAAGCATCAGACTTGTAGAGGGATATTAGAAAGAAAGTTAGGCTCTGTGTCTAGGCCACCCATGTTTTTGTAATCTTTCAAGGTGCTCAGATATCCCTGTGATAGACACAGTATAAGTGACTAAGCAGATTAGGTGTAATTCCTTTTGTATTATAGATTCAAAGGCAGTAAAGTCTTATAAGAAAGAAGATCGGGTACTCTATTGGAAGGACCAGGCTACGCAGCCACCACATCCTGAAACTTCAAAGCTCTGAAGCTGTCAATGTTTTCACTGTCATCTGCCAAAAGGAACAGGATTTTAAAAATAGCTGTGCGCTACACCTAACTCTCATCTAATGGGACTGGAGTGTGATGTAAAACAGACATGCTGAGGGGAGAATAGAGGCTGTTTCTAGGAGAAAACTTTGAAATGTGACTTTTCCAAGTAAGCTAGAATGACAGGAAATTTCTTGGCTTTCCATTATTTTTCAGCTCTGCTTTTTGTCAGACATATTTTTTATTCAATGGATATCTTACCTTTGTCTCTTTTTCACTTGGGTGTACCATGGAGTTATAATTTCAGGAGAACTTTCTGCTGTTCTGTAAGCATTGCTGCTGACTTGTGTTGCTTAGCTCAGTGGTCTCCAAAGTAGGGTGCATGCACCCCAGGGGGTTCACAAGACGATCCATTGGGGTGCAGGAAGAAAATATCTGAACTATTTCTATAAATATACATATATGGGGGTGCGTGCTCAAAATTTTTTTTACTGATAGGGGTGTGTGATCAAAAAAGTTTGGAGACCACTGGCTTAGGTAAGCGTGTCAAATGCTCACCATAACTAAACCCCAGCATACCTACACCTGTCTATAGGCATTGTCTATGCTGCCAAGGAAATAAACCCCAACCATCTGCTTTTGCTTCATACATCAAACTACCCTGATGGGTGACTGGCAGCCTGTGCAAGATCTAGGTTTCAGGTGTGCTCCGCAGCAGCAACTTGGAGTGCCCACAGGGTGTCCTTACAACCTCATTTCTAGGGTGTATGCTTGGGAAAAAGCTGGGCAGGGCTTGTTTCCTGAGCAATTGTGACTGAGCATTGTGATACCCTGCTATGGAGTTATGGGCTAGCATAAACCTGTAACCTTACAAAAGATCAGAAAGTATCATTTAAGATAGCCACTTTTTTATACAGACATAGGCGCTGAATTCCCCCAAAATAAATGGTGCAGCAAGTGATTCTCTTTGAGAAATAAGATGTTTCATTTTTTAGAAGTCCCGTAATCTGCATACCTCTGGCCCCCGCTGGGTATAAAGTTGTGGCAATGCCCCCCTTCAGGAATAGGTAGGCTCCTCATTTTACAATATTGCCCTGTGCTTTTACCTCTCAATGAATTTAAAGAGGGCAATCCTGTAATTTGGGCAATATCCTCATGCCAGCCCCTTTGCAAGGAGGGACTGTGCTGTAGGACTGTATGGAGCAGAAACCAACAAAGCCACACTGCATCTGAATATGGCTAGGGCTGGAATGCAAATGCCAGGTTTAATTTTAGCACGTATAGTATCCTGAACATCTTTCTGAACCAGGTTACTTTAAGTTGCGAGTCCAGAAGGCTTGAATCTACACAGATGCCTGCTAGGCCCACAGCCAAATGTCATGCCCTCTGCTGCCTGTCCATCTTAGGTACTCTTCTGGCTCCCATCCAAAGGGCATCTGACTCCTTACAGTCTTTTTATGTACCCTTACGCTCCATGCTTCAAGGCATCCTATTCTCAAGATTTTGCAGGTAAGACCCAGAGAGGGTAAGGGACTTGGCCCAATGTCAAGTGGCAAGGGCAGGGAACTGACCTGTCCTGAGTTCCTACTAGAACTATACACTGGACCATTCCTCTCTAACCCTCCCTCCCTGTACCTTCAGTGGGACTCGCTGCAGATCGGGAATGTAGTTTATCCAACAAGACTCATGGACATACAAACCCACATGTTGCACATTTCCTGTAGCCCACATGCACAAGGGCAAGTAACTTCTGTTTTATGCACCAGCAAGATATAAAATTTCCTTCACTCATAACCATCGTAACAAGTGGGTGTGTGTGGGGATGATGAGAGAAGAAGATTTAACATTTTGTGTATGAGCCAGTAACCTTTTGCAAGCTTTGAAAAGCTGAACACACATTTTTATGAGTGGACTCTTACTATTTCAAACCCAAAGCTTGCAGGAAAGTGAAACCCATTTTCTTAATTTCTTCCTTCTTCCATTAAGCTGAGATTGAATCACTAATCAGACTTGCTAGTGTGGGTCATTATTGTGGAGACACTGTGCTGAGGCCAGTGGTTCTGGCAAATGCCTCAAACTTTCCAGCTCAGCTAGCTGCAACAGATGTTATAGTCATAAAGTCAAAGGCTGGGATGAAAGAAATGAATCATTTGCCTTCTCGTTCATCAAGATGTTGTGACTTCACCTCTTACCAGACCCATAAAACATGCTGTAAGATACCCTTCCCAAAGAGTAAATGAAAGATTCATGCTACTGCCTAATATCATATGCTCTTAATTATTTCACCTCAATTAACACTGGCCTTCTTTAATAAATGTATAGAGTTGACTATCAACGTGAATGTTATGCATTGTCAGGAGTTTAACTATTCTGTTTACTCAGTGAAAATATTTCCCGTCAGTGCCTGCCCCCACCCTCACACATCTTTTCTCTTAGGTTCCAGGCCTGCAGTGAAGCCTCTGTACAGGGAACCCTGACTCAGTCAACAGGATACTGCGTAGGTGCAGGGTTCAATACTTCGCCAACTTCAGCAGCAGAGCTTTTACATTTCCCAGGCAATTCATGTAGTTTAGCTACATGTCTGTTGAGTTTAAGGCCAGAAAGGCCCACTACACATTTCATAGATTTCATGGACATTAGGGCTGGAAAGGACCTCACAAGATCACTGGGTCCAGCCCCCTGCCCCAGGGGCAGAAAGTCAGCTGGGGTCAAAGGATCCTAGCAAGATAAATGTCCAAATGTTTCTTCAAGGAGTCCAGAGTAGGTGCTTGCACCACAGCTGGGGGGAGTCTATTCCAGGCCTTGGGGGCTCAGAAAGTAAAGAAGTTTTTCCTTTATGTCCTGCCTAAAATGGTCTTGGAGGAGTTTGTGACTGTTGGACCTTGTCATCCCTTGAGATGCTGAGTCTGACCAAGTCTGACCTCCAGTACCTTGTAAGCCACTAAATTTCACCTAGTTACCACTATGCTGGGCCCAACAGACTGGGAGAGAGTAGAGAAAGGGGTCATCCAAGCCTGGAACATGTACCCCTGAGGATCTTCAAGATTGGGGGAAGTGGTAAGCCAACAACTGAAAAAAGAAATCCCTCCATTTCAAGCAGCTGTTGCATGCACTCCAGCAGGCCAGGAAATGGCGGAGAAGCAAAACATTCCTTTTAGTCACAGCGAGGAATAAGGCTTTTACTGGTGTGTGTATTGTGCACTGATCTTCCACTAGGCCTTACCTTCAGCTTGTGGCAAGCCGCACAGTACGCGCTACAGAAACTAAATATAATTAAATGGGGCCAGTGCAGAGCAGCTGCAAAAGCCTGCCATTGCAGGGACTCCCAACAAAGTGCTCTCACATAGGAAACGGCTGCGGAGAAGTAGCTTTCTCTGCACGGCATGTCCTGAGCTTGGGCCCTGCAGAATTGTGGACATATGGACAATCCCCTCCAAAGAAGTGAAGAGGGAAACAGGATACAGAGGTACACAGGAACTGGCTGAAATTTGAGTCTTCTGTAAGACAGAAGAGCTCCTCTGCAGTTTTTCCACATTGTAGGCAGCCAGGCCCTCTGTATGGGTAAAGGAAAGAGCTGCTGAGGAGAAAGATGCCTTCTGGAACTGAAGCCATCTGATTCCTATGTAAAGCCCCCACGCCCCTCAGGGCCTATGATCCTTTTATATGTCCTTCCTTCCCTTAATTGCACTTTTCCACTCCAGGTTCTCCAAGAGCCACTCAAAATGTTATATTTTGTCTCAATTTAAATTTTGTAAAATGATGAACACGGTGACCTCTGGTTTCTGTGCCAGGTAAGAATTAGCAAAACTTTTATACATAAATTGGACAGGTCAAGGCACTGAATATATCTCTGAAGTATACCAAAATGTATTGAAGCCACCTTTGTGACACATTAATTGTAATATCATTTGTGTGGCACAAAGGGCACAGCAATGGCTGCTTCATTGCGTTTCTTTTTGACACACTGTCTAGAAACCTGAGATGTTTAAAAGCAGAAAGTATAATTAGAGCTAGTTAGGAACTTCTCCATAAAATTTTTTTTTTTTCTGGAAAAAGGCTGATTCAGTGTAACCCAAACTTCCCTTGTAGAAAGTACAGGGTCTTCATAAAGTTCTTGTGCACTTTTAAAGTTTAATAACTTAGGTTGTAGGTATGGTAGAAACAATCTGTAAACAACATTTAAAAGCAAATTTATCAAAGTTTTAGCACAACTAGAGTACACAATGCTACGCTTCGTAAGGAATAATGAATTTATTCTTAAATAAGATGGAACTCTGTGCCACTACGCTCTGAATGTATGACAGTTCCTAAATGACGTTTTCCCAGAGAAGTGGATAGGCAGAGGTGGACCAATTGCTTGGCCAGCTCCATCACCTGACCTGTTGCTGTTGGACTTCTTTTTATGGGGACATGTTAAAAGAGCAGCTTACTTGTCAAAACCACGTTCTTTGGTGGAACGTAGGGCTGGGATCACCAATGCAATTAGTGCAGTAACTCAAGAGCAACTGGGAAGCATTTTCAAGGAGTTGATAGATTGGATTGAGCACTGTATCATGATGGATGGTGGTTATGTTGAAGTCTGGTATTGTGTACTCTAGTTGTCCTAAAACTTTAATAACTTTGTTTTTAAATGCCGTTTGCAGATTGTTTCCATCATACCTACAACCTAAGTTATTAAAGTTTAAAAGTGCACAAGGACTTTATGAAGATCCTGTATTTATTTAAATGAAATCTCTTCAGAAAGATTTCTCAGGTCCAGAAAGGAATTTCTGAGCAAAGCAAGAAACACCCACTGCCTTCCCGCAAGAGATCCTTCTAACAGATTTAAACCACAGCTCCAATCCCAGAGCTACTGGGTGTTCCTGTTCTGCTTTTTTCTTTAAAATATTAGAAAGGTCTTAGGGTTTCTATTCCATATTAAAATAAATATTAAAACCTCATTTTTCCCCCCAAAAAACTGAATTCTCATTTTCTCACCAGGCCTCTTTATAATCAGGCCTTTTAGGCTTCCTTGGGCATTTATTTTACTCCGGACTCCTGAAATACTTCAATTAAGTTTATTAAGGCCAAAAATAAATGTGCACAATACGGGGAAATATATATAGATATCACAGATTTCTAGGGTCAGAAGAGACCTATTAGATCATTAAGTCCAACCCCCTGCTTTGGGCAGGAAAGAGCACTGGGGTCAAGTAACCCCATGTGCTTGTTCAAGTATCAGAGTTCATAGAAAGATGATATGCGAGTCAAACTCTGGAAACCACTCGTCTAAAGTAAGGGTTACCAACCCATAGCCTATGGGCTAGATCTAACCTGTGGAGCCACTGGATATGGTTTGGGGAGCTTTACCAGTATTCAGTGTTAGGGGGTTTCACCTGTGCTGAGCTGCGACTGGGCACTGAGGATTTGCCATAGCCAGGTGGCAGCAGTAGCAAAAGCTGGGTCCAAGCATTGGCTTGCCTCAAACTGAAGCTGGGTCATTTCAGTCTGCCACCGCAAAGAGGGTGCAGACTGTTGGTCTAAAGCAGAAGGGATTAAATTGTTGTATGATGAGGACAGGCGAAGGTGCCACCTCTCAGCATGACTCCTACACTGGCAGCAAATGAAAGTTACGTGGTACGTCCAGATCAGTGGGTCTTAACCAGAGTGTTGGAGGAATCTGGGGCGCTGCCAGAACCTTTGAAGGGTGCCCTGAGGTGTGAGGAGATAGGTGAGGTGTGAAGAGATAAGCAGATAAACTCAGGCTCACTACCCAGGTGATCCTCTGCCCCCGCTGTCTGGCCCCTTTGCAAGGAGGTGAGCACTGTAACATATAAATTAGTTTTTTGAAATAGGGAGCCACTCAATTCATAAAACTGATAAGGGGTGCAACAAACCCAAGAAGAGGCTGAAAACCACTAGTTCAAAGGATCTTAACAGGTTATTCATGCTGCTATGGACATGCCTACTAATCTTAGTATGCAACAACTTAAATGTGAAATTCTCAATTAAGTTCTGGAATTGAAAGCCAAAATATAAGCCATCACAATATGAGAGAAATGTGAGGCAATAGCTGGAAAAAGTCTAAAAACAGTTAAATACATTGGTTTGTTTTATATTTAAAATACTATGCAGAGAAAGGGGAAAAACTTAATTGCTAATTTTTAAATGAAATAGTGATTGCATCATTAAACAAAGAGTTACCCTAACATGCTGCACATTATAATGCTTGGTTTTCCCATTGCTGAAAGGCAGGCAGGGGAAGTAAGAACATGCTTACTGCAATTAGTGACAGCTGGTTTCCTGCAAATTAAGTGACACTCAAGTCCATAAACACTCTTCCCATCCTTTCCTTTCCTAAGCCTCATTAGCACAAGGCACCTGCTATGGTTGTAGTGTCTATTCCAATTATAATCCTCCAAAAAACTGAATTGGTTGAAAGAAGTGTAGATAACTGATGTACAAAAACTCCACTTAAGAAAACAAAATGAGGGGTGAAAATGAAGTATCCCCTTGACCAGGGGTGGGTAACCTATGGCCTGCAGGCCAGATCCAGCCCACGGCATCTCAGGGAATTGCTACTGCAGGCAGTGGGTCACAAGCACAGGCCCACAGTGCCAAAAGGCTGCCTACCCCTGCCTTTAGCAATTAAAGACAAAGTTAACAGAGGAAACTCATCTCTTCAAACTGGCCCCATATCATCTTGGTACAGTTCATGTTTGATGCCAAGAATATGTCCTAAGTCAGGACTGTCCAACTGGCAGCCTGCGAAGGATGAACTTGCAGTCCACAGGCTCCTGCCTAGATGCCACCCCCATATCACTCTGGCAGCAACAGCAGCCAGTCTCCTGGTTCCCGGTCCCGGTCCCAGTCCCAGTCCCTCCTCTGGCTTGTTTTGAGCTCACCCCAGTGCATTGAACAGAGCATGGCATGGGGAGTGCAGGGTACAGCTGGGTCCACACAGGTATGAGCTGCAGTAGGGGGAGTGCAGGGATGCAGTGCAGAAGGGGAGGCATTCATGCAGTTCTGGCTAGTGCAGCGCACATGGCATGCAGCCCCCAGCCACTCACAAATTGCACAGTCCCACCCTAAATCACTATGAAGAAGGAATCAAGCATCTCTTCCTGGCTTTTAATTATTTTTGGAAGGTGAATGTTGCATGTTCCATGTAGAAATACTGATCTAAAGATCAGGAAGATGATCAGGAAATCAGTTATCTCTGGGCAGCACTGCTTTGAGAATAATCTGAACAAAGGGACTTCTCAGATAGGTATGCTGTAGACAAAGAAATAAGACCTCTCAGTGTATTTCAAAAACTAACACAGGGCAATGCCAATCCTTAAGTCCCAGAGGACGTCTCATAGGTTCTGAGGCCAGAAAGGACTGTTTTGATCTATTCTGACTGCCTATGTAAGCAGCCACTGAATTTCATCCAGAAATTCCTGCATCAAGTCCACGACTTAGCCCCTCTATAAGAAATATATTAAAATAAATGTAGGCTTGTGCTGTACATTCAGAAACAGAAGCATTTGTGTCTGGGTTAGATACTTCGCTAGTTAGTAAAATAAGGCCTATTCTAATTACAGTTTCTCATGTATGACCATACCCTGCTTACATATGGTACATGCATTACTACAATCATTACAGAGACATCTGCAGCAGCACATCATTGAAAAGGCTTCAGAGACTGGTGAGGCTACTGCTGTATGGAGGGAAGTGGAGATAGTAAGGCTTTTGTTCCAAGGCCACCAAAATTAATGCTTTCAAAATGGAGACCTACTTAAAAAGCCATAGGGAGAGGGGGAAAAATACTAACTTTCCAAACTAATGACTTGCTGTGTGCTATATGGCTCTGGCACCAAAAAAAAATGTTAGGTAATGCAAGAGAATTTTTTTTCAACCCTGTATAGAGACAATATGATGCATGAAAATGAATACCCTTGAGTATCAAACATGTAACATGTACCTCTGAGAGGAACTAAAGTTAGGAACGTTCCCCATTTTGATTCTTTATGATGTACCAAGAGCCAGATAGTGCCCTTTGTTCCCAGCTTCTCCCAATACAGAAGACATTCCTTGGTGAGAGGAGAATTAGTGAAATGATGCATAATGGAAAGTAATAAAGAGAGGAAGTGATTTTTAGTCTGTGTAAAACCCTTTTGGTATTTAAACCCAATATTGAATAAATGTTGGAAGAAATATATATTATCTATATATATATTCATACCTTCCAATTAATTTTAAGGTGCAACATTACACAACACACCTGAAAATCCCTCCCCACCTTCCATCTTAGCTTCTTAAAATACAGATGATCTTATCATTCTTGATATTCCAAAACTGAGGGAAACAAGATGAGACTATTGCTCTTTTTATGTGAATAAAAGCACAATACTACACAACACCCAGGCAGCTGAACTTTAGTAGAAAAAACGACTCAGGCAAACATCACCCCAAAATACCCCACCTGGATAAAACATCTATATATGAAGCAAATGATTCAAGGCCTGATCCTGATAACACTTCACACGAGTAAAGCTGAAGTATGTAAGTCTTTGCTAGCATAAGTCCCTGTTTTCCAAGACTATCATCCAGTACCATGTGTGGAGAGATCCAGAGATTCCGCTTTTTAAGGCAGCCACTTGAGAGCTACAGAACATTAGCTACTGTTCTGAATAACATTGTCTAAGCTAACTTGTTTAATAGCTTCCTGTACACTAAGAGATTTTATACCTGGTGCCTGACAATGACTACTTCAGGCCAGTTTGGCTGATATGGTATATTCCCCCAAGCAGCCCAGTTTGGTTACCTGCCCATTCTTGGCATAACAAACTGAATTGGATTGGGTGTATTTGACAGCGATACTGGCAACAATCAAGTCTCGGGAAGCAGACTCAGGCAGCTGAAACAACAAAAAGCAGTAATAAATGTGCCACTTAAACTGCAGATTTATAATGCTTTGCCATTGGCTATCAATCTGCAAGGCTAAGCCCATTGCAAGTACAATTTTATATTACAGCAAAAAAGACAACAAAGATACCCTATTACCAAGACAAATCTGCTTGGTCTAACAGTTATAAATGAACAATTTAGGTAATAATGCCATCAACTCTTTAAAAGACAACGCCCAAAACCAAGTTTGATTCTTGGCAGATAAGAAATGGGTAGATATTTTAATAATACTGGCCACAATCCTACAAATACTTATGTACTTGCTTAATTCCAGTTGAATTCATTGGGACTACCCATGCATTAAGTATGTGCTTAAATATTTGCAGAACTGGGGCTGTCATTTGAAACACATTTATAAATTTTACTTTACAGATAATCTGCTACTAATTTGTTAAACCGTTCTCCATTTACAAAATTTATCATCTCACCTCCAATCCCATGGCTATTTACGCATTTACCTAGGTCTGTTTCTTTAAGTAAAGGGCAAGGGCTGCAATTCTTTAGGTGCATGTAATTAGCTGTTCATTACTCATGTGATCTTTAATGACTAAACTAATCTGCATGGAATAGAGAGAGCCAGGTGTTTATGCAACAGTGTAAATAAATAGGGCTATTAAACAATGACTCAAAATGAGATCACAATGGTTACTTACCATATGGCTGCTTAAGCATAATAAAAAACAAAGTGGTATCTTACAATTTATACAAATTACTAATATTTTGATACATCAGCAAAAGAAAAAAAAAAGGGACTCAATCCAGCTAGTCATATTTTTGCAAGTAGGTACAAAGAAGACAATTTCTCTCTGTTTGCCTAAATAAGACTGACCAGGACCTGAGCATCAAATTGTTGAAAACCAAGTCTCCCCAAGTGCTTTAAAGGGTCTTAAAATAGAATCCCTCCACTTTTCCTAAGTAAAACACACAAATCACTCCCAGTGTTCAAACTGATCCTTCATTAATTATTTTCTACTTACATTTTTATTTTTGGTAACAATATTCGTGAACAGAGACTGGTCAATAACTGCATTATTCCTCTTCTGCATGAGATGCAATCCATAGAGGGTTCGAATCTCATTCTCATCTGGCTCATAATAAGGGTCCATCTAAAAGTAGACATATAAGTAGCATTTCATACTCCTTGGGCCTTTCTGATCTGGTTTCTGGGAACAGTTTACACATAATAATATGTAAAAACCCAAAAGAGATGAACTGATAAGAGGGAGCACTGCCAAAGTATCAGAAGCAATAACAGATAAATGGAGCCAGCTATTAATACCAAAATAAGAAACCTCACTTTAAGGGATATGGTAGATGGCAAATGGTAGATGGGATATGCAAAGAGGTGCATGCAGAAATGTTCTAGCTGCACCAACATGCCAGTTGGAGAAGTCCACCATCTCTGTAAACTTCCCTGATCTTTAGAGCACCCGCAGAGGCTGTCCACAGAGAGCAGGTAGCCTTCTCTGGAAAAGAAGCAGGGCTTTAAGCAGTGATTCTCGACCAGGTTCGTGGCACCCTGGGGTGCTCTGATATCCTTTCAAGGGTGCTGCAGGATGCCACACAATGTTAGGACTGTTACGTTTACAAATTGTTAGCTTTACAAGATAAACCCAGAGATTTCAAAACAGAAAGCCATAGTTGTGCACTTTCTGATTTCTTTGCAACAGAAAAAAAATATTGTTTTCTGTTGTAAAAAGAGTGAAAAGTAAAAGCTGGCATTTTCTGAGGAGTGACTCAAATCTATCCAGGGGTGCTCTTAGTCTAAAAAGGTTGAAAACCCCTGGACTAAAAAACATCTTAAATGTCAGAATGGAGGGACAGAGAAGTCCCGCTACTAGGAACATAACTTGCAGAGAGATTCTCTCAGGGTTTGTCTGTCCAGGGGCATTCAGGAAAATTTACCTGCAGTAAGTAAAATGTATCTGCAGTTGCAGAACCCCTAGTGAAACTCTTCCATAACTGTGGTGCTCTGGAGAAGTCCCTGAGGACTGGAAGAGGGCCAATGCTGTGCCCATCCACAAGAAGGGTGGGAGGGAGGACCCAAGTAACTGTAGGCCAATCAGCCTAACTTCTAGGATTTTCCCTAGGATGGAAAAGTCTATCTGCGATAAGCTTGCAGAGGGTAAGATTCTGAATGACAGCCAGCATGGCTTCATTGCAGGCAGGTCTTGCCTTACCAACCTCATCTTCTTCTATGAACAGATAACTCCCTACTTGGACATTGTATACCTAGACTTCCAAAAGGCCTTTGATCTAGTATCCCATGATGTCCTCACAAGAAAATTGGAGGATTGTGGGCTTAGCTCCAAAACAGTCAGGTGGGTGAGAAACTGGCTACAGGATAGGACCCAGAGAGTTGTAGTGCATGGATCTGTGTCATCCTGGAGAAAACTGGGCAGCGGTGTCCCGCAGGGGTCAGTACTTGGTCCAGTACTTTTCAACATCTTTATTAATGATTTGGATGTGGGGGTGAAGAGCTTGCTGGCTAAGTTTGCCGATGACACCAAATTATGGGGAGGCGTGGTCACACTTGAAGATAGGTTACTGATACAGACAGACCTAGACAGGCTAGCAAGTTGGGCGGATTGGAACCTGATGTTCAACATCGAGAAACGTAAAGTGCTCCACCTCAGGATGAGCAACACCCAACACACCTACAGGCTTGGTGGCACCAAACTGACTAGCACCACGAATTAAAGGGACCTGAGGGCAATAATAGACCACAGTGTGAATACGAGCCAGCCATGCAAAGCTATAGCCAGTACGGCAAATAATACTCTGGCATGCATTGATCGAAGCATCTCCAGCAAAACCAAGAAGGTGATTCTTCCGCTCTAGTCAGCACTGGTGAGACTGCAGCTGGAGTACTGCATCCAGTTCTGGGCACCGCACTTTAACAAGGACATGGACAAGCTTTAGAGTCCAAAGAAGAGCCACCCGTATGATCAGTCTCATGTGGCAAACCATATGAAGAGAGACTGAGGGATCTGGGACTCTTCAGCCTGAAGAAAAGAAGGCTGAGAGGGGACCTGGTAGCAGCTTCCCGCTACACTAAGAGAGTACATCAAGGGATTGGTGAGCAACTCTTCACCAGTGCACCCAAGGGCAAAACTAGCAGTAGTGGCCACAGACGCCTGGAAGACCAGTTGAAGCTCAACATTAGGAAAAACGTCTTCACAGTCAGGGTGTCCAGACTGCAGAATAAGCTCCCTCTAGAGGTCATGCAAATCACCTACCCTGAAAATCGTCAAGAGGAGAATAGACGGTCACCTTGCTGGGGTCACCTGACCCCCCAGTTATCTTTCCGGCTTGGTGCAGGGGGCTGGACCTGATGATCTTCCAAGGTCCCTTCTGGCCTTACAATCTATGAATCTATAAAACTATAGGTGCAAATTTAAAGCAGACTTGGGCTATTGACATATGTTTGTGTGTAGCACTACCCAAATGAAGTACTGTGGGGGTGTCCACATGTGCACAACTCTCTGGCTAAAGCACTATGAAGTCACCTCAAATGGTGTGCTCTCCAGCCAGGGAGTAATAGGGGAGTGCTGCTCTACTTCCCCCACCCCCAGGGAAGTCTGTCAGAGAGGCAGCAGTAACAGAAGCCATTTCTGTAATGCTACAGATCTCCTGAACCTGTAAACGCTCATTTTTTGTAATATTACAAATGTAGCATGTGTACATGCCTAGGTAAACTTCAATAAACTCCTGTGTAGATATTATTCAAAATTTAACCCAACTTACTTTACTATAGAAGTCAAATTCACTATAAGAGTGAGTTAAGTTAAATAAAGGTGGCTTGAATTCCAAGTAGACTGTTCACACAAAGCTTTAATTCAGTTCAACTAATTCATTCTCAAAGTTAAAATTAATTGACTAGAGAATCCCCACGTAGACAAGCCTGCAAGCAATACTTACTGCTGCATCCTTGCAAAACTGATTTCACTTACAAAATAATCTGCAGCTGAGACTGCCTGTAATTTCATCCTTGCCTGCCTGAAGCACCCAAGCCATCTTTGGGTGGCCACTGACAGTAACGTTTGAATCTGCCTTGTCAAAGTCCTGAATGTTTTATATGGAGCTGCTGAGGTTCTTAGCTTGCCTGTGCACGACATCCCAAAGAGAGATGGAAATAAGGGCTATAACAAGGCAGTGACTATATGATAAAATCTGCCAGTGGTTCTGCACTGGAGCCAGAGGACTTCTGAAGTCACAATCAATTTACTGGACACTTGTTCAGCTGCATGCTGTGGGAAACAGGTGGTATGGGGCTCAAGATGGCCATCTGACACTTATTTGGCAATGCTGTCTTAAATCTTTCCTGACAAGCATTACTAAAACAGTATGGAAATGTATGTTATCAAAGGGCAGCATCTGCAGCCTGATTATAACCCCAATGCATGGGTTAAAAGGCACTTTTAAGAAAACGGCTTGCCACTGTCACTGGCTGGCGAAAGACAACATGAAAAGCTTAGGGTGTTGACATGTCAAATTGCTTCCGATGATCCTTTACTTATAAAATGAGAGAGTTGGAGAACTGCACTTTATAAAGAACAAATTTTTGAAGACAGTCCATTGACAGGAACAGAAGGAAGAGAGGGGACCGGAGGATGCAGCATAGAGATTGGGACTTCTGTTTCAAAAAGGGACTGCTGCTTGCCAGAGTGGTGGTACTCAAACTAGCAACAGTGATGGAACCACCATCAAAATATCTGTTTCATGTTCATGGGAAATAAGCACTCTCTGAACCCCTAGATCCCCACGCATGCTGGGTGTAAGTCCAAATATATTCAAAGGGCATGGGGGAAGATCATAGAAGAAAAAAAAAAAAAGCAAAGATTAAAAACAGAGCCAAACTGTGTATGTGACTATGAGACAATGAAAATATTTCCCAATAGGTAGAATACCAACCTGGAGAATACAGTAGCCCCCATTTTTCTTTTTGGAGAGGATTTTGAGAGCTTCTTCCTCATAACCTGGAGCCACCACACCATCAGACACCTGCAACACACATGGAGCATAAGCCTCTAAAGGGAAACAGACTACTATACTTCCTCAGCTTCTTCCTCCAAAAAGGCATCAGAGGCCTGAGCGAAAGCCAGTCAAAACCAACAGTAATATCTCCGTTGACTTTCAAGGCCTGTGGCCTCAAGGCCCTGCAAACATTGACACAAGTTAGCAACTTTGCACAGAAGAATGATCCCGCTTGCAGACAACAGGAAACTCCCATGCTTAGTACAGCAGATCCAGGATGTCACAGTATAGATAGATAGATATTAATATGTGCAATTCCTTTTAAAAAACAAACAGAAGCCCCCCCAAAAAATCAATAGAACCACTTCCTTCCACCCCCTGCTTTGCCACATTCCCCATGTCAAAGTTTAATCTCAGCATACAAGATATTAATTCCTGGTAATTACATAATACAATCATTCTGCATGCTGTACACAAGGTTAGTACTCCCTCTATAAATTCCTAACAGCCCATCTCTAAATCTCTGAAATCCAGAGCCATTTGCAAATAAAATGATTTGCAGCTTTTAATCATTTGCAGATAGATTCTGTCAATCTGACTTTTTAGGCTAAGAAACTTGGAACTTGGCAAGAAAATCTTTTAAAAAAATGGCTAGGAAAGCATTTGTGGGAAAACAGAATTAAGATCCATCTATATAACGGGACCTTTGGTACCTCATATTCTCACTGCTCAACAAGAAGTACAGCAATAAAGCTTTCTTTCAAAATCATTCACTGTTTCAGACAGTGATACTCTTGGGAATACAGAATGGGATCATATCATCCCAACAGCGCTTAAAAACAAAACAAACATTTAATAACTACAGGCCTCTAAAGTAATAAAAAGGGAAATAAAGTAATTCCTTTTCATGCTCACCTGAACCACCCAACAATCATAGGAGAAACATGGTCCAAAATATTGTCCTCATGAACCAGTCAAATGAGGTAATTCTTTGTTAAAGTAAAATCCCTTTAAAGGGCCTAAAAAAAAAACCTCTCCTTCCTCTCTTTCCTAAATAGTACAAAACAGCCTAGAATACACACCAATACCATTTGTTTATGTATTTACTTAGATTTGTTTCAACTTCTATTCAGGGCAGTCCTCTAATCTAAAGACTTGTGCAATATTGTCAGTTATGCAGGGAACCCAGAGGAATTACAAGTATTATATGTTTGTAGGCTAAATAAAATTACAGCTAGTATCAACAGATAAAGCAACACTCTAAAAAATACTCCCCTTGCTCCCAGAAAGGAAGAGGCAGTCTACACTGGTGATAACAGGAATCTTCTACCACCTTCCAACTTCATCAATAAGCCATTCCTACAATACAATCATAGTTTCTTTATGTGGGCTTGCTTAAGTGATAGAAATTGTGACTGTAACTTGGACATTAATAATATAATAATAACTAGCGGATATAAACTAGTTGTCTATCACTATGGTTTACCTATGAACCATGGTATAAATGTTGGGGGGGGGAAAAAGAGACCTTGTGCAGTCTGAATGGTCAGATGGATACAAACACATACAATGGACCAAGTAAAAAAAAAAAAAAAACCTGCATGAAGGAAAATGCCATTTCAGTCAACGAAACCATGTAGAACTGTGTGGCCTTCACGTCAGAATAACTCCCTGGTGTTTTACTAACCTCTCGAGAAATGATTTTAGCAGTTGGAACATCACAAATGTCAGACAGAGCAATAAAGTCACCAAATGAAGACATCCGATCAGCACCTATAAGATATTTTGAGGCAAGCTGTTCATTTACAGGACACGTGAAAACCCCCCCCACAATCACTTGCATGCCTTAGCTTATTTCTGCAAAGTTTGTTTATTCCATCCAGAAGCAGGATATGGTCCATTTCAGAGGAGTTACAAGGCAGGCAGTATCTGTCAGTCTCCCCTCTACTAATTTACCTTAAAATAATCTAGTTACAGATTTGCCTTCTCTGCCCTTCTATTTGCAAATCCTCTTTAATTCTGTAGTTAGAACTAGAAACAGACAGTAAAGCATTTTTTTAAGTTTTAGTTTATATTAATGAAACAGTGCAAATTAAAGCAAAGGGTAAAATAGCACAAGGTGACATTACAGAAGATTTCCTATTCAGCATAGTGAAGGCATGTCAGCCTTGACCTGCAACCATTTGCCTTTCTAATCATTTGCTCTTCTTGAAACAAGCTACCAAGAATTCATTGTCTGTGTATAACTGATAACCAAAAGGTGACTCAAAAGTGGGTGAAAAAGAGATCAATGCTATTTTTTCACTTCTGAGACTGCATTTAACAACACTAATCTTCTCACGTAGTAGAATGACAAAGAGGGAAATCTGAACTAGTGAAGCGCAAGGGAGAAAGTTTTGTATTTTTCAAGGAGGTGAGCACACTTCCAGTTCCAGTCCTTGGGTGTGCAAAGACTCCTCCAGCAACAACAAGATTCCTTCTTGTTTTTACAATTTAACACTTTAAGGACTTAGAGTGGCAGCAGGGCAGCTGCTAGGTGCAGGCCATTCCTGATGAGGTGGTCACCTGACTGCAGGAGGGCCATGTGATTAGAGAAGGGGGCTTAGCAGCCTCTATTTTAACTCAGGCCCTCAAAGCTGAGATAGTAGTCTGCTGCTGGCAGCCAGAGCAGCATGACCTGGCTGAGCTGCTGTTCAGAACACCCTGGAGGTAAGGGCAGGAGCTATGGGGAGGGTAGAAGGCTCCCGATTCTGGGGCAAGACCAAAAACTACACCCTTCTGAGGTAGGATGGCATAGTGGGTCCACCCATGATGGGGTGGTCTCTAGGAAATGCCATGCCAGTTGCCTCCCCAGTGACAGGCGAGTAAGGGGTGCCTTATAGCCTGAGCTCCCAACAATTTAGTGGATAGTAAGGAAGCAGTGGAGCCAGGAATGTTTTTCAGACACCTGAGCCTGTGTGGTGTAAGACCCTGAGGCCCCAGGGAGGAGGGTGTAGTGAGAGAACAGGCTGCATAGAGTAGGGCCACAAGGGCAGCCTGAAAGACTGTGCAGAGTACGGTTGCAGGGAGCAACCTGAAGGACTGCACTGGGGGCACACAGAGTATGGCTGCAAGGGCAACCTGAAAGTCTGCATATAGGCCAGCCCCACAAACACTCCAGGGAGTTAGTCCCAGGGAGGAGTCGTGAGTTGGTGCCCCAGTGAGAGAGTGGGAGTGAGTGAGCCCCAGTAAGGGGGCGTGAGTTTGGAGCCCAGTGTGAGGGCACAGTGACTGTGAGCTACACAAGGGATTGAGACCCATGTGAGACTGTGGAGCACGGGTCATAGTCTGAGGCACTGTAGCAATATGGATGCCATCTGCAAGGCATAAGATACAGTATAGAGCAGGTCGGAGCCATGCATAATGCCCTAGGCATCGGGGCATGTCATGGGCAGCCTCCTGCACTTTACAACAAGTAACGTAACAGCAAGATGTGGCAGAGAGGCAGGGCAGACTTCCCTAGACAGGTGGGCAGGCCAACGTTTGACTGGCCTTGTATCGCCCCCAGGTCAATCTTTTCTGACCTTCCATTGCAACCACACTTTTCCTTCCTCCTTTAGACCAGATTTAAGGACAGGGCTTGAAGTAGTAAAACTCATTTTGAATAAGAGCAATTCTTAATTCTTGACTTGCACCCAAGTCCCTTTGGAGATGAATGGACAGTGCATTTAATCAGAAATCACTAGAATCCTACATAGAATAACCAAACAGCAAGAGATAGATCTATCTTCTAACTACCAGCACTGTCTTTCAAAGAGAACATGCGAACTACAGAGCACGTTTTTTAAGAGTAGGCACTGGTTTGTTCTCCGCTATTTGCGTAGATGATTTCATTGCTTGCCCTCCTACCTCTTGCTCGTGCATATGCAGATGCCAAAGGCGTGAGAGTCTGGTGGAAGTCATGCACCATGCAGACTTGAGCCTCTTCCAAGGTAAGTGGTATTCCAACAGCAGCACCTAGTGGACAAAATAAGCAGGGACAGCTGGAGAAAATAAACCTGAACATGTTTTGGGCCAACTCCTTCCTATCAGTATAGCTTGCCAAGGCGAGCAGTCAGATACTACAGGCCCCACCAGTGACATTCAAGACCATTCCCAGTAAAAAGCCATAATTTCTTCCATACAAAATGCATGACCAATAAGATGCTGTCTTACCTGCAGGACTGACGTGTTTGAATGAGGCTGCAGCAGGAATGCCTAAAGACAGCTTAAGTTCTTTCACCAGCTGCCAGGCATTCAGCGTATCACACAAGTTGATAAACCCAGGAGATCCATTCACAACTGTATAAAGACCATAAAAGTGCATTAAAGCAGAAAAGCTCCTCTCTCCCTGAGGAACCTAAATACTGACTGTAAATTACTTTAAACTACTTCCATTTAAAACCAAACCTGTTTGGGTTTTTTTCTTTGAAACATACAAAACATGAAAAAATGACTTTTGGTTAACTGCTGCAGTCATTGTACAATGTTAAGTGCATAGAGCAATACCTAAGCATAGTGATGAGATTCTCCATGAATCACATAAATGGAGACCAATCTGGTAGTTAAATCTACTGTACTGGGACTCAGGAGATCTGGACTCAATTCCCTTCTTACCACAAGCTGCTTTCTGCAACTCAGCCCTCCACATGTGCAGTAGGAATAACAGTACTTCCTTTCTAACATTTTTTGTCTCATCCAGTTTGACTGAAATCTTTGGGACAGATTGGCTCTTTCCATGTGCCTGCATACCCTCTAACACAATAGGATTTTGGTAGAGATCAGCAGGTGCTGCTATCACATAGTTAAAAATGAGAGCTGTCAATCACAATTAACATGCGCAATTAATGCATCAACTGGTTCTTGAGTTAATTTTTTTTTTAATGCATTAACTGCATATGTGGTTTTGGAGCCCGCACCTGGGCTCTACTGCACCACCTCTGGGCCACCCAGCAGAAAAGTCCAGAGGACCTCAAGGCAGCCAGGGCATGGGCTCCGGGTGGCTGCAGCTGTGGGGGAGGGCACACAGATGCACACAAGCAGCTGCAGGCTGCACACTGCATGTAGAGCAGCACCACGCTGGTAAGTCTGTGGAGGGGGTGGGGCTAGAGGTAGAGGAAAGGAATGGAAGGAGGCAGATTAAGGACCCCACGGTGAGGGAGGGAGTGGGGCAAGGGTAGGTGCTGGTGTGAATGGGGCCATGGCAGGTCATTGGATGGAGCTGCGGGAGGCTCCAGAGGTGTGGGCATGGCTCCCTGCCACTGCGTGTACCTCTTGAGGAGGCACGCAGGGCATATGCCCCCCAGATAAATGCATGGGGCAGAGGTGGGCTGCCCGCTGCAAGCTGGGGCTCTGTGCCCTTTTGTCTTTGCCTCAAGAGCTGTGTGCTGGTTGCACTGTGTCTCCCCTGCCTGCCTGGCGGTGGGAGGCACAACATGCCATTGCGCAGCTCCCTGGGCAAAGGAAGCAGGGTGCAGAGCCCCAGCCTGCAGTGGGCAGCTTGCTTCCACCCCATGCACAAATATGGGAGGGAATATGTCCCCCATGTCCCCCCCTTCCCAGGTGCGCACAATAACAGGGAGCCACACACCCCCTCCCCACCCCCTGGCACCCCTGGACAAGCTGCCTGTGGCTGTCTCATGACCTGCCCTGACCCCAGGTCCCATTCACCCCAGTGCCTGACCCTGCTCCTGCCCCATTCCCTCCCTTACCATGGGGGCCTCAATCTGTGCCACACCCCCAAACTTACCAGAGCAGTGCTATCTGTGTGTCTCTGTGTATCTGTCCCTCACTCCCAAGCCACCACTGCCCCCAGCCCTGCTGCTGCCCCTCACTCCTGACCCACAATATCTCCATATCATGCCAGGATGTGTGAGGACTGCACCCCCAGGCTCCAAACCCCCAACACACACCCACATCCTCCCACACACGCACTCCACACCCACCCTCCAACCATACAAAGTGCCTGCATAATTTTTAGTTTTTCTGTGTGGTTAGTTGCACTTAATTGCAATTTTAATTTTTTTAATCATGCAACTAATCACAATAACATTTTAAAATAATTTCACAGCCCTATTAAAAATGAAAACAAATTATTTAAATTGTACATTTCTGTCTCCCTGGAGCATGGGGGTGTTGAAACAAACTCAGACCTCTTCCCTCCATACCCCTCCAATTTAATAGATGTGGACCAAATTCTTTAAACACGTACTTAACAATTAATATGCTTACTTTAAACCTGCGAGTAAGTCTATTGAAGTGAAACATTTTGCTGAAATCATATGCTTAGGATCATATAAAATAGGGCTGGAAGGAATCTTAGATCAGGTAAATCCAACCTCCTGTTCAAGCCAGAATCATTTATCCCATCTAAACTATGAGTTTTTGTCTATCCCACTCTTAAACTTCCAAAAATGGAGATTCCACATCTTCTCTGAGTAGCCTATTCAAATGTTTAACCACCTTCATAATTTCTAATCTCAATTTCCTTTGTTACAGTTTAAGACTGCTGCTCCTTGTCATGGCCCCTGAGACCATAGAGAATAGTCTAACCCCGCTGTCTTTATAATCACCTCATAGGAATTTGAAGACTATTATCAAATCCATTCCCCCCTTTGTCTTTTCTTTTCTTTTCCAAACTAATTTCTTTATCCTTTCTTTTATAAACCACATTTCCCAGACCTCATATCATTTTTGTTGCTCTCTGCTTGGCTCTTTCTAGTGTGTCCATGTCTTTCTTGAACATTAATCTGGACATTTCGTCAGAAATACTAAATGTGAAGACTGCAAGCTCCTGAAAAAAGAACCTGGTAAAGTGAAATCATCCAAAAACACTTTAATGCTGTCATTGCTGCGCACACAGAAATTTAAACAGAAAGAAGCACCTGCTTTCACACGTCTGCACTGGGAGCATTTCAAGAAACAGGAAAAACAGTTGTTGGACTCTTCTGAAAGAGGCTAGGACAGCTGATACTCATCACTTTTGCTGCCACACTTGCAACACAGACCTACAAGCATGTCAACTTCCAACTTTTGAGCATGAAAATCCTTCCAAGAGATTCTTGAATTAAAAGTACAAAGAAATACTGTAAAAGCGAATGAATGCAAGTCCTTAACCCCTTTCCTTAGTAGGATACTGCCTACATGAGAGGCATGAAGCCAGAGTTGCTGATCACTGACAGTGGATACAGTTAAAAGGAGGTGTGGATGGGTGACAAATAAGGGAAGTGAGAAACAAGTAAAGAATCATAAAAGATGGTAAAAGGTTTTCTTTCCTCTATTCTAGTACAGAATTAAGATTGTGCCCTAGAGCAGCTACTCTGTCTCTGCTCATTCCTTAACTGTAAATCTATTACTACTTCAGCTTCTTAATAGAGAACTCTGCATCATTTTAATTATGCTACTGCAAGACGCTTCAATCTCAGGAAAAAAAACTGTGTCACAGAATAAGTCAGCTACTGTAATGGAAGCATATGATCAGAGAACCAGGGAGAAAGGCACATACTTCAAAACAACTCCCCTGCACTGTAGTAGGCATGCCACAAGCAATCTAAACCTGTTGTCCAAAAGGCTATAATCAATACCTTTCTTGCTCCTAGGAACCAGCAGGGTGCCTACTTGTTCTCCTGAGGATCCCCAATTCATGATCCAGTTCATGACACTCCCACCCTCAAAGGCCCCAGCTTTAGCTCACAATTAAGGACAGGCTTCTGTCTTACCTGTCAAAGGAAGCTTAGGTCTCAGTGTATAGAGCTGTGCAGGGGTCTGATGAGGGTTCATGCCATACCGCAGAGAAAGCTGACACACCCCCTTACTGTATTCCTTCCTGAAGTAATCAGAGATTGCAGCATCATACTGGGCAGTGTGGGTGAAGGCCTATGGACCAAACAGACAGGACTAGTTGACAGGCCATACTTTTAAAAAAGTAAATAAATAAATGAAGTGCATTTTTGCCCCCAAAAGAACATGACAGACCTTTAGTGCCAGCTGGCGTCTGATTTCCAGGGAGGTGTCTGTGTTACTGGATGACTTCATCTCCTTAGCTACACAGGAATAGTCTTCAGGATCACATACAACAGTCACACGAGCATGGTTCTTTGCAGCAGCCCTCAGCAGGGCTACTCCTCCTTCAAAGAAAGGAACCCAGGTGTGTAACATTATTTTTCTGTATTCAAGGACCCTGAAACCCTACATCTTAATATAAGGTCAATCCTCTCTGGTACAGGGCTAGCAAATCCTGAGTCCCATCTCTGATAAATGGAGATAACTATCCATGTGCCTCCCACCTTAGGATCTCAAAGCTCTTTCCAGAGATTGATTAATCTCTGTTGACTAAAACCAGGCCCTGCGTATCCTCTCTCTCTCATAAACATAAATGCAATCAGTTATTCAACTCTCTTAAACTGAACAAGGTACCTGGGCCTTGCAAAAAAACCCCCAATGGTTATGTACTAGAGAGCGGTTCTGAACTGTGTTGTTTGAGTAACTGGACAGAGGACATACTGAATTAAAAATGAGACTTTTGGATGAATTAATGTGAATCAGATAGGTAAAGTTTGAAGACATAGATGCTGAAGGGGCACAAAAGTGACAATCGAAACTAATTTCCTATGGCAACAAACTGTGCACAGGGACAAATCCTCTTTTATTGCAGTGGAGTTTTGCAGTGATCCTTTGGGTCTTGATTAAATGTTTTCCTTTAGCTCATAGCAATGTTATCTGCTCAGGCTGCACAAGAAAGCAAGCTCAGTCTGACACTTCTAGACAGAAACCCTTCAAACCTCTATACACAAACTGCTTTCTTAGGTCAGAACATGCCATTCCACTTCTGAACAGCACAGGTCATCTGTAAGTTACGGTGAATCTTCACTACTGTCATTTCAATTTTTTTTATTATTATTCCTGAATAACACCCCCCCCCACTTATCTTACATCCAAGTTTAGCTACTGTTTTTTCTAGGAAGATAATTACTAGAGTTGTGCAAAGCTTCCGTCCCCAATTCAATTTGGTGGCTGAATCTCCTAATCTGAATCAATTCAGAGAACCCTTTAATCTCTCCAAATTGAATTGGAACCCTATGAATCGATTCACAGAGATTTGGAAAGATTAGGCAATAGACAGCTTTAAATGTTTTTTCTACATGCCTCTAGGTAGCAGGCGGCTTGTGAACGCCATGATCCTGGGGTGAATGGAGTGTCCCACAGGAATGCAGGGGGCTCCCCAGCGTGCTCAGCAGCAGACCCGGAAGTGGACCAGAAGCATTTCCGGTCCACTTCTGGATCCACTAGGGAGTGTGCTGGGGGGGCCCCCCTCCGCTCAACGACTGGTGCCTCCTGAGTCTGGTGGGGGCACCCGGGGTCCCCCTGCAGCCAATTGCCAAGCCGGAGGGGCACAAAGGGGGCCCCCCAGCATGCTCCCCAGCAGTACTTCCAGTCTACTGCCAAGCACATGGGGGAGCCCCCACTGCACTCCTGTGGGTCGCTCCATCTGCTCCTCCATCACAGCATTCACAAGCCACACCTGCTACCTCAAGGTATGTAGAAAAAATACATAAAGCTGTGTCTGTGGCCAAATTGCTGATTTTCTGAATCAGCACTGAATCCTCAGATTTGGATTTGGCCAAACCAAATTGGGAACAGTGATCTGAATCAATTAATTGAATCACTGTCCCCGATTCAGGCCAAATCTAAATCGAACAGGGCCCGTTTCGCACACCCCTAATAATTACCATAATAATCTGCTAGGTGGATGTGATGCCTTGAATGAACTGCATCATAGATAGGATACAATCCAGTCATAGATGGGACACAATCATAGATTGTATCATAGATCACCACCACTACTGGAGACTTTTATAAATGGATGTGGTCTTCCAGCAAGTCACAGTGCAGATCAGCACCCGATGCACTGCATCGGCTATTCCTTTTGCCATAGCCACATAGCATCCAACAGCAAACTATACAGCCAGAACTCTAAAGTCATCCCCCAGTGAAACATCTGTTTTTATAGTTTCCCTTTGACTCACCAATGTCAATTTTTTCAACTGCTTCCTCTACAGTCACATTTGGAGAAGAGACAGTCTTTACAAAGGGATACAAGTTACAAACCACAACTCTAAAAAGTGGAAGAGAAAGCCTGGGTTACTCATCATCAAGAAGTAACATAGTGAAGTCTGACTTAATCATTCACTCAAAACCATCATTGTTCTTTCAGCATGCTGGCCTTTCCAATACAAATCAAGACTCTTCCTTTCAGCATAAAATCCTGCATACAAGCTGAACTCTCAAAAGGACTAGGAGAGATAAAGGGTGGACACTGGTAATTTAAAATTGTTACAATGCTTAGACTAGTACAGGGCTGTCCAACTGGTGGCCTTTAGGCCAGGCTCTGCTCCTCCCACTGCTCTCAGCTTCCTCCAGCTTCCACTACCTGTTTCTGCCTCTGGAGGTAGAGCTGAGGGAGCCCACAGCCTCATAGACCCAGGGACCCTGTGCAGTGCAGCATGAGGTGCTGGCATGGTACAGCAGGGCACCTGCTGCATGGCATAGTGAAAGGGGCCTACACGGCACAGTGTGAAGTGTACGAGAGTGTCAAGATGATGCAATAAGGGAGTGCAAATGGTGTGGGATGTGTGCCTGCAGTGTGCATGTGGGAGGAGAAGGGGAGCACAGCACAGTGCAGCAAGGGACAGGCGTTTTGAGGTGCTTAACATGAGATACTTTAAATGGTCTTTATTCCAAGGTGAGTAGACAGTACTGTGAAAAATCAGGATCCTCCAAAACATCTCCACGTCAAGCACCCAAGATCAATAGTCAATTAAAAATAATTAATCCAACATAATCTAAATTCACAGATTCATAGAGTCGGAAAGGACCTCAGTGGGCCATCTAGTCTGACCCCCTGCCCCTGGCAGGCAAGAAAAGAGTCACCAACCCTGGGGTCATGTGATCTGAGTCAGATGCCTGTCCAGTCTCCTCTTGAAGACCCCCAAGGATGGGGTGAGCACCACCTCCCTTGGGAGCCCATTCCAGATTCTGGCAACCCTGACCGTGAAGAACTTTCTCCTAATGTCCAGCCTAAGCCTTCTCTCTAGTAGCTTATGGCCATTGTTCCTTATCATTCCAGGGAGTGCCCTGGTGAACAAATCGTCACCTACTTCTTGTTGCTCTCCCCTTATGAATTTGTACGCCGCCACAAGGTCCCCTCTCAGCCTTCTCTTGGACAGGCTGAAGAGGTTAAGGTCCCTTAGCCTTTCCTCGTAGGGCCTTCCCTGCAAGCCTCTAATCAGGCAAGTGGCTCTTCTTTGGACCCTCTCCAAGTTGTCTGCATCCTGCTTGAACTGCAGCATCCAGAACTGGACACAGTACTCCAGCTGTGGTCTGACCAGAGCCACGTAGAGAGGGAGAATCACCTCCCTGGACCTGTTTGTGAAGCACCTACAGATGCACGACAAGGTGCGATTGACTCTGCCAACTGCTTCATCACATTGGCATCTCATGTTCATTCTGGAGTCAACAGTGACTCCAAGATCTTTTTGTGCCTCCGTGGAGCTGAGAAGGTCATACCCCCAGCCTGTAGGTATGATGGCAGTTCTTCCTCCCCAGGTGCAGCACCTTGCACTTGTCCTTATTGAATTGCATCCTGTTGCTCTCTGCCCATTTCCCCAACCTGTCTAGGTCAGCCTGGATCTGGTTCCTCCTCTCCAGGGTGTTAGCTTCACACCAGAATTTTGGGTCGTCTGAGAATTTGGACAGGGTGCTTCCCACCCCCTTGTCCAGATTACTGATGAAGATGTTGAACAGCACCGGCCCCAGAACTGAGCCCTGAGGGACTCCACTGCCCACATCTTTCCAGGTTATCACCAACCCATCCACTACCACCCTCTGAGTGCGACCCCTGAGCCAATTTGCTACCCAGTCTACCATATAACCATCCAAGGCAAATCCTCTCAATTTATTCATAAGGATGGTATGGGATACCTTGTCAAAGGCCTTCTTGAAGTCCAGATAGATAACATCCACCTCGACTCCTGCATCTAAACAATTGGTGGCCTTGCCGTAAAAGGAAACTAGGTTAGTCAGGCAGGACCTGACTGCTAAAAACCCATGTTGGTTACCACTCTGCATCACATTAGCCAGCAGGCTCCCACAGATGTGCTTCTTGATAATATTTTCTAGGATTTTCCCTGGGATAGAAGTAAGGCTGACTGGTCTACAGTTCCCCAGGTCTTCCTTCCTCCCCTTCATAAAGATTGGGGTGACGTTAGCCCTTTTCCAGTCCTCTGGAACCTGACCCGAGCACCATGAGCGCTCATATATCCTTGCTAGTGGATCAGCTATGACCCCCACTAATTCCTTCATTACCCATGGGTGGAGTCCCTCTGGCCCTGGTGATTTGAATATGTCCAGTCCCTCCAAGTGTCTTTTTACCACGTCAGCACTGACCATTGATCGGCTGATGTTCCCCTTGTTGGGGTCTGTGATGTATGCTGAGGGTTTGTCTAGATTCCCATTTAAGAAGACAGAGGCAAAAAACTCATTGAAGAGCTCTGCCTTGTCCCTGCTATCTGTCACTAAGGCCCACTGCCCATCCTGTATGGGTCCTATGCTACCCCACACCCTCTTTTTGCTCCCAACGTTCCTAAAGATGAACTCCTGTTTAGTACTCCCTGATCTTCATGTGACATGATGAAATCAATGCAAGGGCCTGCTTAGTTTTCACCAAAACCTTTATATCCCTTCTGTCTCCAGTTTTGCTGCAACTCATTTACCGCATCCCATTCACTCAGACCCTGACTTCTTTTCTAGCCATCTTTGCTGCTCAGTCACTGAGGTGTTCCACAGTCTCCACAGAGAGTAAGATCCCAAGCTGGTGTAAACTTACAGAGCTTCATTGACTTCCTTGTCACTAACACTATCTATGCAAATCAAGGTAGTAAATACAATTGCTTATCACCTTCACTGCATAACTGAATTCAACAGAGCAGAAGACAGGAACCTGTACCTTTTAAAGTAAAATAATCAAATCAGATCTAGTACCCCAGATAAGGCTGCACCCCCTGCTCACCCAAACACAGAACAGGGAACGCCTTTTCTTCCCCTTTCAATCAAGGCAAACCTCAGAAATCATGCCCTATACTGCCATCACCACAGACAATTATGTTTATAGTTTTTTAAATTTCATGATTCCAAATTTAGTCCAAAACCCACTGATGCAGACCTGTGGTGCTCCAAATTTTCAACCCATGGACTGGATTTGCAGTGCCAGGTTGGTCCGTAGGCCAGATCCAGTGTGCAGTGCTGGCCCAGCCTGGGCCCAATTCAGCCACCTAGAAACAGGATGACAGAGCCGGGACCCAATCCAGCTGCACAGGACTGGGGGCCCATGCAGCCACGTGGGACTTGGAAATTTGGCATCTAGGGAGCAGTGGCAGTGTTAACTGCCACCACTCCCCCATTGCCAAATTTCCAGACATATAGGGAGCCTTGTGGACAAATTATGCTTCCTCCCAAGCCAGTCAATCTTATTGAAGCAGAACCACTCATTTTAAACTGGCAATATGTCAAAGACTATAAGCAGTATAATCAGTTAAGGTTGATCAATCGTTTGAAGTGACTAATCCCAGAACTACCCTGGGTAAAGATAAAAATATTTTAATGCAGACCACAGAAACCTGCAGGAATCCACGTGACTTAGTTTTTTGTTTTCATGTGATTCAGCCTATTGAGATCTGGTGATGATACCCAAAAACAGTGATTTTCTTCCTATAGTGTGGCCTGTAATCTTTGTGTGCATCTATTATGTTTGAATTTCAACAAAAGTTCATGGCTTAAATAGAATTGCACAAATTTCAAAAGGCATGTTTATTAAGCAAGCATTTCAAAATCAAAGTAATTGTCTGATCAGCCCCCTTGAACCAAGTCCAGTAGAACTGCACCTGCTTGGACAGGTCTGAACTTGGCTCTGAAAGGAATATGCAAGGTCATATTACATTGCATTATGCTCATCAGAAGGTCAAACACTTGAATTTTCTCAAAGTTTAATGGTGCTCCCCCACTGTTAAAACCTGGACTAACAAGCCATTTTGGCTATATTCCTAGCCATGACACATCTGCCAAAAATATTTTATTTCATCAATGTAATCCAGCAGGGAAGAAAACAAAAACATAAACTGGCATTTTCTTGCAAATTCCCAAGCACTTGCTCACTCACTCCTCAGCATTTTCTGATTTGTTCCTAATGATTTCCAATCAACCACACTATGTTTTCGGTAGCTCACCTTACAAGGCTGAAATCCTGTTTGTCCATATCAGCTTTATCTTCTGGTATGCTGCGAGCCAGTATTCCTAGTTATAACAACAAGGATTGTTTCACAAAGTTCTTCTTTGGAAAAAAAAATCTCAGCATCTTTCTTCAGTGCATGTGCTCCCTCACAGTTCACTCCACAAAGATGATCCACTTATGTTTAAGACCCAACCTCTGCACCAAAATCCCATTTTAGTTGCTTCCTGGACTGGAGGCTCAGGTTGCTTGCTAACAATTTTTTTCAGTGTTAAATTCTAAAGGACCCCAAGGACTGAACAGAAAACCTGAAAACTGCGCTAAATAAGCAGCCAATTGATAACCTCAACCATGGAACTGTCATTAAAGTTTCTGGGGCATAGGTGAAGAAGAAAAAGCTCCTTGCCACTCCTTACCCCAAAATAAATAAACCATATGTAATAAGTGAAGTGGTAATAAGTAAGTTGTGCCTTGGGTAATAAGATACAGCTGACTAACTGATAAATAGGAAATGAGGGAGAGAAAACTGCAACTGATTGTCTAGTCCAGCAGTTCCCAATCTGTGCTACGTGTACCACCAGTGGTACGTGTTAACAGATTTATTATAATTACTTTATATGACAAAAATTTGCTGGTGATACTTAAGATAGAACTAAAAAGTTTGCTGGTGGTACTTTACTTTGTATCATTTTAAATTGGCAGTGAGCAATCTGTCAGAGTTTGGAAACCACTGGTCTAGTCTACAGCAACTGGGAGAGTATAAGACAAACGTGGACAGCATTTGGAGCCCTTTCAAAAGGGGGACATTTCAAAAGGGCAGCAGAAAAATGTCACTGTGTTACAGTAACCTAGGGAGGAAGTCACAACACCCACCTTCTGCTGAAACCTAGGCTGATGTCCTTGTCACGCAGCTAACTATTATGCCAAGATGTATACCCCTTCTTCATGGGAAAACCCCATCAGTGGAGACAGTGGCCAGGGTATAAGCAAGATCCTTTCAATATTTCTTTGACCCCACGAACTCTCTCCTCCTAGCTTGTTATTAGGATGAGATGAGAGATTTCTATCCTCATTCTCTGATCCTATTAGCCGAGCCCCTAAAATGCCATTTGACAAATTGTCCCTTACTTCTGTTAGGATGGACGCATGTCAGCAGCAACTTACCAGCATGGACTGCAGGATGAAGGGTTTTCACGCGCCCCCCTAACATTTCAGGAAATCCAGTCAGATTAGACACATCTCTGTCCAGAGAGAAGAAAGAACATCACCATGACTGTTCTATGCTTGTTCCATGATACTTCTATGCTTGTTGGTCAACTTAATGTATCAAGTTCAATATTCATTATCTCCATTAAGGGCCCAATCTGGTCCCATATAAAGGAACAGGAGTTCTACTGCCTTCAATGGTAGAATAGACCCTAAGGTTAGACCTTGACAGTTTTGAGCTTGAAGGGATGCCCTTACATTAGGAAGGCTAAAAAGTACACATACCAGCTTTATTTTGGTCTATGTGAAACTTGGGACATCTCCAATAGCAGATGAAAAAAGAAAGATTCTTATAAATTTCAATGCCTTGAATGCACCTAAGGATGAAGCCAATGAAAAGCAGCTATGTCTAGTTATTCATCACATAGCTCAGGTTTTTCCAGTTCCTAACAGCTGCTAGGTATTTCAGGGATAGGGAGTCACTGCAACTATGCTGTAGGTTAAAGAAGATATGATTTTTTGTTCTGTTAAGCCTGCTGTGACTGACACTAACTAGCAAAATGTTACTAGGAATAGCCAATTATTTGCAGAAACATGGCAGGAATACTCATGTAACTGATTTCTCAGTTAAATTCCTGATATGTAACTGGCTTCCTATATTTAACAAGACACTGACCTACATTTTATAGAAAAAAACTACATTTAACACAGAAGAAAGAGAGAAAGAACACTGCTCTCTGCCTATAACAGTCCAGCGTACTTTCCATCAAAAACCTTATTAGGCATCAGTTGCTTTTCCCGTGAACAGAAACAAAGCATGCATTCTCCTACTCAAATTAAACTGAACTTCAATTATTTTGTCAATGAGAGCATGTGGTGAAATAAGCAAAAATCAGCAAAAGACGTGACCAATATCCTCACAGATAGAAACTATGACTTTTTCTTAAAGTAACTCTTTATCCTGAAAGATGCAGAGTAGAGAAGCTGCACAAGTTAGGAAATTAAAGTTTTAGAAGACAAATTAAAATGACAGCATATCTGCCAAATAAAGATGCATTTCTAGAGGCAGAATTTTAGATATTATTCCTCAGCTCAGACTCACAAAAGTTCAAGGCATGAAACACCATTCAAGCTGTCAGAGACTTGTAAATATGGTCCCATGGTATAGCAAGGGAAAATTGTCCTATGTTATACCCAAAACACTTGGAGTAAAGAAAAGCAACCCTTTTAAATTAGACACTAAGGCCGCATCCAGACTAACAGGGGCATGCGCTTGCAATGGCACAAACAGTAGTGCCACAAGTTTGTGCTGCTGTTTTGTGCCTCAGTGCATACCCCTGCACATGCATTTTGTTGGGAAACACACTGTCCCACCATGGGCAAACTCTCTATGCCCAGCTCCTCCTGGGTGCCAGTGTGCTTGTCCCATTTAACCAGGCTCCATATACTGGGGGAGTGGAGCTGGCTAAGGTGCAATGTGCTTCACGCAGGGGAGCAGGCAGCCCTGGCTGACTGCCCTCATCTCAGTATGCCTCAGAGCAAGGGCTCCACTGTGGAGCAGCTGGTGTGCCTCAGCCCAGGGCTCCCCCAACTCTACATTTGTTCTCGTGCATGCTATTTGATGTGCTTTACAATGGGTTTTTTTTTTCCGGGGGGGGGGTTTCCGCTACCAAGAAATCCTCATAGCAAATTTTGCCCCCATGCTGCAAATTAGCAGTGCTGCACAGTTTAAGGTGCAATGCATGTAGTCTGTGGGGCTACACCAAGGTTTGTGGTGCCACAAACTGCACATGCCTGCATGTGTGGACACAGCCTAAAGGGTCATGGATTAGTTCTTGTTGAACCTAGTCAGATGCCTTCATGGCATCTCTCCAGAAAGAAACAATGTAGACTCTATACATTTAATTTCTAGGATAACTGGATACCCAGCCTGGAAGATCTTTTGTAATATCAGTGGCATTTGGGAAACACTGGAGCAGACTAATGAGGTTAAAGAGTCTCTGATTTCTCCCCTCCCCACTGTTAGCACTGAGAAGAAAAGGTTTTGCTGAAGATTTCTGGATGAACTAAGGGAATTATCATTCTCTGTGGGTGGGATTTTAAAATCATCCACATGACTTAGGAACACAAACTGCATTGACTTTCAACAAGGCTTGATTGCCAACAAGCCATTTTTGAAAGTCCCACTCTATTAAGCAGCTCAAAACATATCATTCCCAACTGATGCTGTACAAATACACTTAGTCCCTACCCCCAAACAACTATAAACAGGTCTCATAAATACAGTATTTAAAAAAAACAGATGTCTGTTTTTTTACATCAAGAAATAATTCAAGTAAACTCTTAAGGATTCAGTGTTCCCTCCTGTAAAATGTAGCTTTAATTCTGCTCCTGGTTTCATTTTAAAAATTGGGAAATAATGAATCTGCTTTTCACTTCCTTCAGCTCATGACTGCTCAGAGTCAGAAGAAACAGTAAAAAGGAAGGGAAAGATTATCATGACCGTGTGCCCTGCTCTGACCTTCACTGCTGTCATGGCTAGAGAGAGGGTTCAGAGAAGTGGAGCTGAACACTCAACAAGTGGGGAACAGGGAAATTTGGAGGCAGCATAAATACCCACAGGTTGCCCCATGCAGTCATCTAGCATATTCTTTCTGTTGCATGCCATTGGAAATGTTCTTAAAACAAAGAATCTCCAAATCTGCTATTATATTCTTGCTGTCCCAGGAACAGAGATCAATACAGGGATGCCTGCATGCATGAGTGTTAGAGCCAGGTTTCAGAATTTAAAACAACATCTTGTCTCGTATAAAACACCTGGAGCAAAGGCAAACCACAAAACATCTGGAATGTAGGTACCTTTTCTTCCCCCCAAGTCACTATACAAAAGTACTTGTACCAATATATTCTAGTCAGTCTGCTCCCAGTCAAGGAGCAAGACTTAGATTTTTGCTGGTATTGAATTATATTTTCTTCCCTCAGTTTAGAAGTGATATGAGTGAGTGGGCGGGGACAGAGGCACGAGGCCTGCATTGGCGAG